AACAAAAGTCATGTAAAAAAGCCTGGAAAGGACAAAGAGCTTACTTTAATTCAATTTAATTCAAATAATTATATTGAAGTTTTCGGCTCTTATTTTGAAACATGAAACCTCTTATGTCACGAGTTGGAATCATATTTTTGAATAAATAATTATATTTATGCTCTACTTTTGTATCGAGCACTATTTTTTCTTCAAGCGAAATTTTTTTTGGAATAACTTATTTCTGAAATTTACGTGTTTTAATAGCATATTCATTATTGAAATCAAAATTTCCATGGTAACAGCCAGGGCGATTGTTTAAATAGGGAGGTGTGTTGAGTGTTAATAATATGTATCAGTATAGAGTTACATTCATAGATGCCAAGTCTATGAAAGCAACTCTATACTGATACTTATTTCGCGAGTTGGAATCATATTTTTAAATAAATAATTATATATATATATATATATATGAATACAGATGTATACACATATATACATATATATATGTATATACACTTATATGTATATATATAAATACATATATATATATATATATTTATATACATATATATATGTGTGTGTGTGTGCGTAATTTATGGACATGTACATGAAGCTTTTCTTTGGCTCTTTGAGGTGGTTTCTCACTAGGTTGAGGCATTTATCTGTCAGCTATGTTTGTGCATAGCAATTTGAGATCTAAGCTAGCCTTAACCTTATTTTCCACGTTTATCTTTTGTATCCTCTGGATTAAGTCACGAAAATGTATAATATTCTAGAAGTAGAACCCGGCGTGGCCCGGGGATGTAACAGTAAGAGATAGATCAAGTATCGACCATCATAAAGACTGAAAAATAAAATTGACAAAGATTATTGTTTAAGGTTGACGGACACGCATGTCTTAATTATTATTATTTTTTTTAATAATTGGTCAAGCCCAAACTCAAACAAAAACATTGTTTTCAATCGTTATGAGTCTATCGATTGAATAGAATTTTATTATAAACAATTGTCTTGTAAATGGAATTTTTCAAGCATTCTGAAAGTAAATATAAAGAAAAAAGTGTGCAAGACAATAAGAAACACTACCTACCCAAAAAAGTGAAGTTTTGTTGAAATCGGTTGAAAAATGTAGGAAATCCGATCCCATATATAAACAAACAAACACACACACACACACACAAAAAAAAACAACCTGGGTTTTATAATAAGTATAACTCGATATGTGTTGTCCCCCTTTCATTCTCGAAACAGCGATGCCTTAATCGTGTTTTCAAATTGATTTCGTGCAAAAACAATTGTGTTTTTTCAATTTTGGGCGCTGTCAGAACCACCGCAAGGTAATTTTACGTAGTCCTATGAAGTTTTGTTAAAATCAGTTGAAAAATGTAGGAAATTCGATCCAATATATAAACAAACAGACACACACACACATCCTGGGTTTTATAATAAGTATGATGTTCGGCTGATGAGGCCTAAGAACGGGTACAATGATTATGACGTGATGTTAGAATTGTCTGTTTTAGTTAACGGCCGTATTGTGCGGTTGTAATGTGTGCAGTATTCTGTTAGGCCAGTTTATTAACTGTTATCTGTAACTGTTTTTGTACGTCTATATTTACTGCTGTTCATTGATTTTTTATGTAAGTGTAGTCTTCTAATTTCTCAATATAGACATAGACATCCATAATGACAATGCCACTGCTTCTGTAGGATGGGGTTATTATTATATTTTTATTTCTGGATAAGACTTTAATGCCAGTAAATATCTCCGGAGTAATGTTCAACTCTGAAACTAGTATATATATATATATATATATATATATATATATATATATTGTGAGACCGGAAACTACCTACACAATAGACCCTTCCAGGCCCATATTAAGTCAAAAGGATTAAATGGAGCTACCAAAAAAAAAAAATTAATCATCTCTTCTCTTTCGCTCAAAGCCTACCTATTGAAAACTTCAGATAACTTATTTGGAACTGATTGGATAGAAAAATTCAATCTTTTGGGATTGCCCCCAATGAGTACATTTTGTCGCAAGACACAAAAGTACAACGTCCAATTTGGTAAATCTAAAAAAGGCCTGCCAGTCTATACTGCAAATAGACTACTTCGTTGAGGAACGATTCTCTTAAACTATAATTTCAAGATAGAGTTCTTAATATCCAAAATATTTTGCCATGCAGACAGTTTATCGCGACTCATTCCAAAAAACAGAAGTCTTTGAAGACTCCATCATTGCTACTCTAAGGACAAATTGTGAAATCAAAAACATGATCGCGATATTACCATAAGAGAAAGTTCCCAGTTACTTTGGCCGACATAAAAAATTCAGTCTCGAGAGGATGAATTCATTCAATCAATAAAAAGCAAAATTCGACACAAAGACCCCAATGTGCCTGAAGTTTTCTCCCTCTGCGATGATGTCCTACTATATAATGACCGCGTAGTGATTCCAAACAGCTTACAAAGAAAAAATCCTCAGGGATTTTCACATAGGACATCCGGGGAAGTACCGTTCACAAAAAAAAAGCCTCATGCGCTGCTACGTTTATTGGCCAAACATGGACAAGGACATAGCAGACATGATAGAAACATGGACAAAAGGATGCGCGCTTGCAGAGCAAAGCTCCAAACACGACGTGCAAACCGTGGCCCAAAAGAGATCATACTTGGCAAAGAATTCATGTGGATTTTACAGGGCCTATGGACAACATGTACTATCCCATTGTTGTGGATAGCCACTCAAAATGGCCTGAGGTCCTACAATGTAAAAGACCAACCACAAACTGCAACGTCGGATTTCTGCACGAGCTATTCGCGTGTTTTGGCGTGGTAGATTGTGTAGTTACAGATAATGGCATTCAATTCACATCAAGTGAATTTAGAGACTTCTGCAAGTCATATCAGGTGGACCACATTACAACGCCTCAGTACCACCCTAGGTCTAATGGCCAGGCCGAAAGTTTCGTGGACACTCTAAAAAGGGTTTTAAAAAAGGCACTAGGCACACCGACAGATAGAGCATTGCAACAATTTCTGCAGGTGTATCGGATAACCCCTAATCCGAACACGCCTATGGGAAGCTCGCCTGCTGAAACAATGTTCGCAAGGAGAATAAAGTCTGTCTTCGACAAAATTATTCCACGGAAAGCAAAGTTAAAAAAAACCGTATCGCCTCATAGGAAATATTTCAATCCTGGCGATAGGGTCTTTTTCAAGGCGTACAAGAACAATATGACATTCTGGGAAGTGGGCACCATAAAGCAGAGAATTGACGAACTGGTATATATGGTCCAAGGACCGAAAAACATTCACAAACGCCATTGGAATCAGCTCAGAAAATGCCGTTTGAAGGAATCGGAGGAATCACTACAAAATAACTGTGAAGAGCCGATCGACGTAATTTTCGATCACTTCGATCTCGACATGCCCCAAGTCTCTCCTGAAGTGCAACGCTCAGGAAGGAAAAGAAAATTTACTCAACCGCTCGACGTAAAACCCAAGAGAAAAAGTATTAACAGTTTTATTTTTCTCTCCTTTTCAAAAAGAAAACACTTTGGAAGTGGGGGGGCGGGTATTGTGAAACCGGAAACTACCTACACAATAGACTCTTCCCAGGCCTATATTAAGTAGGCGACATAGCACTCTACAGAGAGTGACTGAGAGTGACACAGAGAGACAGTGAGAGCCTCGTACGACTACCAGTATTGGACACTAACATATAGTAAGCTCCGCTTACACTATCTCTGTAACCTGTTGTTAATATATCTTTCTTACATCTAATCCGTGTTCTGTGTTTTACTTCTGTGGTCCCAACTTTGGCACCACATCAATATATATATATATATATATATATATATATGAAAAATATCTCAGAGTTAACCAGTAGAAAAATACAATATTTATAAATGTAAATTCAGGCCCATATATGGTGTTAATACTGTTTTATTATAAAACAGAGCATTTATTTAATGTATATATATATATATATATATATATATATATATATATATATATATATATAAAAAATTATGTATATACATAAAAATGTCTTAAAGTAATTGTCAATTTCATAATGTTTGACGTTATTTGTTTACATTTGCATATGCATCGATCAGATATGACGGTTCCGTATAGAATACAGGTTCGGTTCCTGTCGTAGGACGCATATTTTCTATGACAATTTCTCGGACATTCATGCTGGTAAATGTTGTTAATACTGTTTATTACAAAAAAGAGAATTTACTTAAATATTTGTATCTATAAAAAGGATGTATAAACATAAAAATGTCTTTATATATATATATATTTATTTATTTATATATATATATATATATATACAGTGGTCATTGTCAATAAAAATACATAATATGCCAGGTCGACAGCACCACTCATAGTTTCATGCCTAATGTAATCCTCTGGTACTGGCTGTTGTTTACAGTTTGTTTAATTATTACTATTATATATATATATATATACATACATATATATATATATATATATATATATATATATATATATATATATATATATATATATATATATATTGTCATTCACAGGCTGGCTGTTTTGCTGTATCAGAGATCATCAGTGTCGTTAGACGTTTGGTTGCCTCTAGGCATCACTGGGATATTCTACCCCTAAGCCGTTGGCGCACGGCAGGGATGAAGGCGAATTTTATGCGTATTTATTTTCCGATAAACACACCTTCGATACCTCGATTCGCTTTACCGAATTTTCTCTTTAACACACACACACACACATATATATATATATATATATATATGCACGCACGTGTGTGTGTGCGTTCTGTGAATCAATTCCCCAGAGTTTTCATGAGAGAATCGAACACTATCGAATATCGATGTGATACCATTTTCTAATTAAATTCTATGACCATATTGAGTGCTAAACAATCTTCAAGCGTAATGGGCTAAAAATCTCAAGAGACGCAATTTCAATTAACCGGTTTCAGAAAGAAAAATGCGCGAACCGCTAAAGAGGTGTTATGAGACGCTATAATGAACGTTTAATAACAGTTGCGACAAACCAATTAACGCTTGCCACGTGGTAGGAAATGATTCGGTTTCGTCTGCACATTAGAGTGTTCGATCAGTTGTTCAATCTTGTGTACTTCGGACTTCGCAATTTTGCACACCTTAGTCCCTGTAGCTGGCCCACCGACATTTGTGCGTTTTCTTTCTTTCTTTCTTTTTTTTAAAAAAAGGGCAAAAATGAAAGAAAAGAAAGACAATTCGAAAATAGACTGAAGGCCTGGCGACTGGATATCCCTACCCTAGGCAGTAACTCGTGTTGCAATTAAATAGGTAGCGTCAAAGGTTCCCACGCCAGGAAAGCATTTATTTATTTAAGATTAAACGAAAAAAAGCACAAGCCTGGCGCATAAAATCTTAGTTTGTTTCAAACTACTTAATTGAAACTTCTTCACAGATTTATACCAGTGTTCTTTTTTTTCAGCGAAAATGTGTAAATTTCCCTTTCGGGTTACAGATCAACTGTCACATCAGGCTTTTCTGAACGCCCAATGTCATGTAGGACATTGCCACACCTTTAGAACTATGCAGTTTTCAAACAACTTTAAATACCAGTATTAAGGCTCTTTTATCTATCTATCTATCTATCTATCTATCTATCTATCTATATATATATATATATATATATATATATATATGTGTGTGTGTGTGTGTGCGTGTGTGTTTAATAAAGAGTTTTCGATTGTTTCTTGCTTCGCCAACAATTGCCTTTTAAAAAAGCGTTGACCGAAAGGCTTCAAAAGGTTAAATAATGACGTCCATTTTGTTCAAATCTATTTTATATTGCTGTGGGAATAAGTCTTTGTATATATATATATATATATATATATATATATATATATATATATATATATATATATATATATATTTTTTCTTTCTCGCTTTAAAACACTTTAATTGAAACTTTATATATATATATATATATATATATATATATATATATATATATATATATATATATATCATTCATATATATATATATATATATATCTGATTATATATATATTTATATCTGGAGTTATGTTTTGTGTTAGGTATGATGAATAGGATCATGATTACGATTTCAATGTAATAATTTATAACCATGGAATATTAGTGTTTGTGCCTTTTATCATATCTATCTATCTATCTATCTATCTATCTATCTATCTATCAATCTATCTATCTATCTATCTAGCCAGTATTTCCGCACAAAATGCTTTAACCTTAATATATATATATATATATATATATATATATATATATAAAAACTAATCTATTTGTATATATATATATATATATATATATATATATATATATATATATATATTTATATATCATTCAGCAATTTCGAGGTCAGTAGCCAGTATTTTCTTCAAGTCTGAGGCACATCGATGGAGACTAAAATGGCTCCCAGCTATGTCAACATATTTAGAAATGCCCTGGAACTTAATATGCAACATCGATATCATCTCGAATCTTTCCACTACCACAGATGCATAGGCGATATGTTTTTTTTTTCCTTTTTTATGAACACATAGTGTTAACACTTTCCATGACTCCAAATACATCAACGATTTTTACAGACCGCCATCAAATTCAAATGGAATATCCAGCTACTTCCATTCCGTTTCTGGATGGACTGGTCCATCTAAACAACCACATCTACAAATCACAGTACACTAAGCCTAGAGATGGTCATTGTTACCTAAGTTTTAATAAATGCCACATTACCAACCTAAACAAATCAATAATCTATAGCCAGTATTTCCGCACAAAATGCATCTCTTCTGATAATTGGGATTAGAAAACCACAAACGAGACCTATTCATTTACTTTCCTATTAGAAATTATCCCTTTAAACCTATCAAAAAATGATCACTCCTTTAAAAACAAAACAGAAATTCTCTTTTAACCTCGGAAACCAAAAATAAAAATTCCAGTATGCCCATGCTTTTTGATTTCAATTACAATATTCACAATCTTACTAAAAGATTTCCAGTGCATAAAACGTGACCACACAATTAACAAGATATTAAGAGACAAACCAAGCGACAACTTCTTAATCTACATACACACCTAACATAATCTAAAATACATAAATCACCCATTCACGAAGATAATGTCACGTACAATAAACCCTGATGCCAAGTAATTTTACGCCATATCTGGCACGCACATATTTATCAGACCGCCTCCTTTAAAATATCAAATATATTTTTTTTTCGCAACGACTACACAAAAAGGAAATTATATCGGTGAAACAGGGACGGAAATCCTTCTTTGGTTTCATAACCCATAAAAAAAAATCATCAAGAACAATATCAATTTCACTGTAGCTGTACATTTCATTCAACCGGGC